TTAGATTTAAAAATATCGACATATTTTACGGAGAAATGGTTGGTTAAGGTGGAAGTTGGTGGAAAAATAGTTAGTGGAAAAAAAAACTTGGACACAGCTTTGAAACAAATTACCCGAAACAAAAATTAAAACTATAAATCAATAAAAACACTTTCAGAATGAAATAAAAGGCGTTCATGTTGCTGGTGGAAATCAATGCGACTGAATAATTTTTGACTTTTATTATCATATTTTGCTTTCATTTATTGATAAGGTTCACAGCCGCTGAACAAAACACAAAATGGATTTAAATGTCACAACAACTTAGAACAAACATAAAAGAAGAATAAATAAATGACATAACGTAGTTTAAATTGTGTCCGGTTGGCGATAAGAACGCTGCTATATGAACGAAAACAGCAATACTAGTGTACATACAATACAATAGTATACATGAATGTGGTCAGGAGCGTGAAGGATAATTGGGTTTCATTCTTAAAATGTTTAAGTTAAAAATTTGAAGAGAACAAAGAGTCGCGTAAAATCAGTATGAGTTCACGCATAAAAAATTGCATAGCAATAGTCTGGATGAATAATAAACGAATCAAATTTGTTATAAATAGAAACATTTATAAAGACACTGTTATCAAGTATGGGGCCACTCTGTGAGCATATGGTGAAATTAACTTGATTGTTATATTATTTAAGTCTTGATTTTGAATTTAATCAGACGTTAGCATTCAGTATCAGTAACGACCGTTTTGAGAAGATGAGTGGAATATAAAATGAAATAATGGTATAAATGCTAATATAAATGTCAAGATTCAAAATGACAACTCCAAAGCCAAATTATTATCATTTCGATTTAATTTTTTCATTCAATTATCAACTTGTTTGGTGAAGCGTGATTATTTTTAAGCTTGACAATTGCTTGTTTATCCTATATTAAAACACTTGTTTGTGTCTATTTTTGTGCAACTAAAGCTATCATTGTGCATTGTAGGTACCGGAGATGTGCGGGCACTCACTAGTGCTTATTTCATATATACTTTTTCAAGTGCCGCACCTAAATACAAGAAAGAGCTTGCTTGCACCTTCACGATGCCCATAACAGCTTTGTCATTTGGTGTTTTGAAGCTTGCTTTCTGGTGAACATTAATGTGAATTAATCAAAATTCCGGTATTTACTGGTCTTAAAACTCTGCCTACATTTATATGGCTACAAGTTGAGTTAAATTTTGTACGCTTTTGCGGCAAAATCTCCATCTAGGCGACACTATAAAAAGTTCTCCTGTAGCAAATTCATTTCACTTCACTCACAAGGATACATCACTATGGGTTGCGGGCGTTGAGCCAAACGACATAAGCCACGGTTTAGGTCTAGGCCAGACTACCTACGCCACATATCCCGTTCGTGCTCATGGGAGTAAATTTTTTTCGCTACAACCTTTGGTAGTTTTCATACTAGAAGGCATTTAGATGAATTTTCAAAACAACTTGCTGATTATTTCTTTTACCTGAAAATTCGTATTAGGGGGTTTCTTGGCACGAGAAAGCCGAATCTGGCCTTTTTTTTGCGACACAATCACGTTAAAATACACTTTCCCTACAAAAATTTACTTTTTTTGATAAAAAGTCCATCATTGTGTACTAATAATGCCACATCCATTCAAAGTTTATAGTTTTTTGTGGCTAGAAACATTTTTAGAGTAATAATCATACGTCCTCAGCAGGGGTCCGAGGGGTCCGATTACCCCCCCCCTGACGAAGTGTTACCCCTTCAAAATTTTCAAAGAATTCTTTCAATTTGCTAGGGAATTTCGCCAAAAAA